GTCCTGTGTGGACGCCTCTATGCAAATCTGCCTGCCTGAGTTACATGAGTCACAAATGGCCAGTCTTTCCGCATCTTAGATACAATCTCTGCTCACACTTTAGAAGTCATCTGCTTTCTCTTACTCATGCTGTTCTTTAACAACTCTTTCTGCAGCAAGGTTTGTTGGACACGGCCTCGAGTTCAAGCTTTGGGACAGCTGGGCCCAACAGAAGACAAAGTCTACATCGTCAAGGATAATATTTATATCCTTGATTAAACCTCAGCGGTTCTCGGCCCAAGATGGCAGAAGACAGTGGCGGGCATCACCATGTTGGTCGCCTTCTCAATCCAGAACCATTTTTCTGCATTAGCTGTACCTGATTCCAATAGATGTTGCTGTTGTCAAATTTATGATTGTATAGTCCTGATGGTTCTGCTGACGCTGGCTGTCTTCCGGGCCCCACGGAGCTCTCTGGCACACACGCACCCCTCAGTATTGTCTTTTCCTCAGACCCCTCAAGCCTTGTGTCCATCAGAGGAAGTAATCAGGATCATACAGGAAGGAACCCAGCATAGCTGTCCAGAGCAACAGGATTTAAAAATCAAAGTATCTACTTCGACACGTCCTTCGGGAATGTTTCCTGATCCCTGCTTGTGGTTCTATTCTAGATCCAGCTGGGCCACTTCTAACATTTCCTAAGTGCAGATCATGCCAGTGTGTGGGATTCTATTTCCTCAGGAGGAAGTAGAGTTGACTGCACTTTCCTCCTGGAAGGTCTTTATGTTTTCTCCTGCTTCTGCGGATGCCGGGTCCAGATGGCCAGGTTCACTGTCAGGTGCAGTTTCAGAGCTGGGTAGGAACCAGACAGGTGCCCGGGGAAGGCAGTCACTCTTCATGGGGCTAGTCACACTTATGCTAGGTGTCATTCTGTCCCAGGCCACGGTGCAGTCTGTGGACACCTGCCTGGCTTTCTGAAGGAAGCTGGATTGAGCAAGGCAAAGAGGACGAAATTGGGAAAACGTTTTCTACCTTATTAGCTTCTGCTGTAGGGATAGTAGTATTTAAATTGCAAATCACTTCAACCAGAACTCTAAATTTTCTCAAAATAATTTTAGATTTAAAATTTTTTCTAAAGGTCTTTTTGTCTAATCAATACTAGTACTTTTTTTTTTTTTTTTTGCTGTTTAAATAAATTGTTTTAACATGGTTAAACAAAGCCTATTGTAAAGGTAGCTTCAGTCACAGGTGTGATTCTTTAAAACTGCAGATTTTTAAGGGTTTGGCATTGTCAGGAGAGGGGTGTTTGTCCATGGACATTATCAGGGCTGGGTTTGCATTTCAGTTTCAGTTTGAGAAACCCTCACATGATTCATGCTTGGGGTTCATGGCTGCTCTCACCACAGTGGTCCAGGAGGACAGGGTGCAGTCCTGACTGATGCCTATGGCATTTCCCTCCCTCCCTCCCTCCCTCCCTCCCTCCCTCCCTTTCTTCCTTTCTTTCCTTGTCTTTTTAATTTTTTTCAGTCTTGGTATATTGTTGAGGCTGGCCTCAAACTCATGATTTTCTTCTCTTAGTCTCTTGAGTGTTTCAATTACAGGTGTGTACCACCATGCCCAGCCTTGCAGGTCTTTCTATTTGTGATAACTGCTTGAATTCTCTGTATCCTCCTGGAACTTTATAATGTACCTTCAAGGGCCTGGGAATCTGGTCAACTGTTTAGCATTTCCAAAATTTGTTTCAACATGAGAATACCAGTGTCTCCAGGAGTCCTGTGACACAAAGTACATGGGAGCCTGGGAGGAAAAGTACACTCTAGGGATTAAGAATTGGACCCAGGTTGTGGTCATACCTCAGCAGGAACACAAGATGACATTATGGTAACTTGCTGTTTTTTTCCTATTAGATACAATCATTTTATATCTATATTGTTATAGTGGTAATTGTAATAAAATATTACTGGGCAGAAGGCTTTCAAGGTAAAAACAAAAAGGAATTTAGTTAATATGGATGCTACTATAAGCTTCACGGTCTTAATAGATCATACTGAATTTCGATTTTGATCTGAGACATGGCAGAGTCTGTCATCTACAGCCTGTCCTGGATTATCAGAACGCTGGTACATTTAAGACTGTTTAGTTAAATTGATGACATTTTGCACATCTGTAAGAAGTGAAAAACCAATCACTCCCGATAGTTACAAATATGGGATAATTTTGTGAGTACATGAAGGTGAGGGATTTCTAATGGTTGTGTGATGCAAATTGTTTTTTTCTATTTTGGAAACTGACTTTAGATCTTTTCGGGTTGATCATTTAGCTTGGGCCCTGTGTTCTTGTCTTGCCGTGGACCCCAAGCCCGCACCCAGAGTGCACCGGGACACACTGATTGTCCAGTAGCTGCAGGTTTGCTGGTGCTGGGCACAGATGTGGGCATGGTGGCTCTCATCTGTCATCTCAGCTCTCTGGGAGGCTGACCGAGGCAGATTTCAAGCTTGAGTGACTTTGTGACAGTCTCTAAAAAATAAACAAAAGAAGCTGAGCCTACAGCTTACTGAGCTGAGGGCTCTGAGTTCAATTTTCACTGCTGAAATAACTGAGCAAAACAAGCAAAGAAACGAACCAAAACCTCCCATCCTTGTGGTGATGATTCAGACAAGGATAAGACTATTGGGGAAGAGCCTGCTTTCCTCATCTAGTATCAGGGGCTGGAAGCTCTTTAGGTGACGTCCCACTCATTGTGAGAACTGAGCATCTTCCCTGGGCTCTGCCCATGCCCACGAGATGCCAGTAAGATCCTTTGGCTATGACAGCTGGAAATGTCTGCTGAAAGCAACCCCAGCCCTAGCTGTGAACTCTGTGACACAGGACATCTGGTGGCTTCAGCATGGTATCAGGCGCACCTTTGGGAAAGAGGTGACATCTAAGATGAAAGCAAAGGAATGTATGAGTGGCGGCCACAAGAACACCTGCTGGAAGGGCCAGGACAGGAAGAAGCTTCAGTACTGAGAGAACTGTGTTCTGGGGCCATGGCTGCAGCTGAGAGAGAGGAGGGCAGGGAAGAGGCTGGACAGATGGGAACTGGGCAGCTGGGGCTGATGGAGAAGGCTGTGTGAACTCACCTGCTTGAGGGAAGAACCCTGCTGTTAGGAAGGAGAGCCCTTTAGCAGGTTCAAGGCTGGACAGGTCATAGGCCCACACATTGTATCTCAGTATCTTTGTATGCTTTGGTGACAAGGAGCTGGCTGGCATGGCAGAGGGCAGATAGGAAAGGAGAGCAGAAGAGTAAATCCTGGCAGTTAGAGGGCTGTGTCGTGGCACCCAGAGGAAGGTCTGCATATTTGTAATATCAGCCCTTGAGAGCTTGAAGCCGGAGGATCACCCTCCTATTGAATGAGTTTGAGGCCAACTTGGGTACAGATACAGAGCAAGAACCTGCTTATAAATAAATGAGTGAGTGAATGAATAAATGAGTGAGTGAATGAATGAATGAATGAATAATGAATGAAAGAAGGTCAGGTCAGAAATTTTGTTCTTCGTTACAGTGAGCCCAGCAGTAGGTGAGACCACTGAGCCCGGGCCTACAGCTAAGAGAGGTAGTGGTGGGTGGGTAGTCGGGAACCTACCTCTCATTAGTGTTCATTTCAATGCAAGCATCCAGACTTGTTGAATAGGTAGAGCTAAGTGTCTGTGTATCCACTCTGCATTTCTGTTTCATGAGCAAATTTCAAGAAATGGACACAAATCTATTTTGAAACTTACAAGGCATTATAATGATACTTCAAGCCAAAATAAATAAAAAAAAAAAAAACAACAAAAAATTCCTCCCTCAGTGTTCCAAAGTGTAGGAAAATCCTGAGAAATGTGAGTGCATTATTCTCTGGTTTTCTTCCCTAGCTGCTGTGGAAATCTGGTTCATAGAAATCTCTGAAAGGAAAGAAACAAGAATTTGCTCTTCACTCTTACCCTCCCGGGGCTTTTTGTCTTTGTGAATGGTTTGGTAGGTCGTGGGGTCCTTCCCAAGCTATTTATTCTTTGACTGTTGCTTTCATCAAATTTTTGAAGAAAACCTGCATAAATAAAAAAGAAAAAAGAAAAAGAAAACCTGTGTGAAGAGGCAGCAAAGGCAGCACTAGCCTACCAGAGCGCAGCTGGAGGCTTTAATGGAAGAGGTGCCCAAGACTGGTGCTCAGAGCGCAGTCAGCTACACTCTGCCTGTGAGTTTAACCAACCATAGGCTGACATGCTGGAAAGAATGCGTCTGCACTGAACACACACCAACTTTGCCATTCTCCCTAACCAGCAGAGCCTAACCGCTGGTGCAGCGTTTATGTTCCATCAGGCATGCGAGTAAGTGAGAGTGAGAGGCTTCATGGTATATGAGCCTGTGCAGGCACAGAAATGTTTTATAGAGAGGATCTGGATTTTTCTTTTTTCTTTTTTCTTTTTTCTTTTTTTTTTTTTTTACCACGGATTGAACTCAGGACTTTTGTACTGCCAGGCAAGCACTTATTCCACTGAGCTATCTCACCAGTTCCCGAATCTGGATTTTGGTATCTGCAGAAGGCTCTAGAACCAGTCCCTCTTGCATAACTGAGGACCTCTGTCCCTGGAACTGCTGAGCTGTCAGGAATTCAATTGTAAACTTTCCAACACTTACTTGGAGCCTTTTTTACACTTACTTGGAGCCTTTTTCTCTTTTTTTAAATCTTATTTATTGGTACAGGGTCTCACTACACAGCTCGGACTCAGTGATCTTCCTGTCTCAGCCTCCCCAGAGCTGGCGTTACAGGCATGTGCCATCACACCCAGTTGTGGTGTCCAGCTTAGCATGGGGCTGGCATGGCATGTGGTGCTGGGGATCAAACCCAGGTTCTTGCACTTGCCAGGTGGGCACTTAGACCGACGAGCTATCTCACAGGACTCTTTACTTGGAATCTTGATGGCCACTTATGCTTGTCCCCACTCTTCCCTGAGGATCCTGAAATTTGCCCCCACTGGGACAAATTCCCAACTCCATGCCTGGCTCACTGCCTGCTTCAGGGGATCTTCCTCTGCTGAGCGGCAGCTGATAAAATGCCCCCGAGACCTCCTGTATACCTAGGGTGTCCCTCAACCTCCTGGGAACACTTGCCTCCCTCTACCGGGCATGATGTTTTGCAGGTCTGAGCCCGTGATGCCCCTTCATTGCTTCTGTGCCTCATCCTCCTGGGCAAATTAATCTCCAGAGAACTTCTG